TTGGCTTAGATGTACAATATAATTAGATGATACTTGTTCTCTTTTTTGAATAGAATTGATGACTGCAATTAGTAGGTGAGCACTCTTTCTGTCTGGGGTGGCCTGCAAATCCCCAGGGATTTACTAGGGCAGCCCTTACTTAAACAGGTTAGTAAAAGAGGCCAGAATATCCTTAATTGCTGCATAACAATGTCTATATATCTACCTGTCCTGATCTGTATTCCTATCAGACTCTGTATGGATGGAACTGTCAGTCTTTTTGCTAATTCAGATGTGACCACATTTATAAGCTGAAAATAAAATGTTAGGTATTTTATGCCATTCCTATAATAAATATTCAAAATACTCAAATGGATCTGTGATCTCATTAACTCCCTCAGATGACGCAGGACTCAAGCCTTGCTTCTACCATTCATCTTTTGTCTATAGCCTTCCAGAAATTTTCTTCAAGGGGTTCAGTCATTGTTCTGAAGACCTTTTTTACTTTGTTTTCACATCCTAAGGACACAGGTAGAGCACCTGGGCTATTCTTCTGTCATCCCTGGCCCTCAACATGTTACTGTCCCATATTCTTTCCTAGCATATAGATTGATAGTTGTTGATGTTTTCTTGGTTACATTTTTTTGGCTATTAATTAGTTCTCCACCCCTTCCCGTGGCATCTTTCCCGTCTATAGATACCTTGGGAAACAATCCCTCAATATCCTCACAATTTTGTTACCTCTAAGACAGAGGACTTCTATATACACTGTTCATCGTGGGTGTTTTTACCATCTCTGTTCTTTCTAGTATCATTTCTAACTTCAATATAAGCACTTTCAAGATGGTGATGTTAAACTCCAAGTGGGGTGGCTTTATTGTCCTTGATGATGAAAAGTTTGTTATGAAAATCTTTGTAGATCTTAAAATTTTTTTCTTTTCTTTGCTGTTATCCTATTTTTCCTCTTTAAATGCCTCCAGGATGAATTTCAGTAAAGGTGAATTTAAATTAATTAACATATTTTCTTTTAAAATTTTATT